CTTTATTTGCTTATTTGTTTCTTTATTTTGGTTGAAGCAGCTAAAAACGAGAAAGCTAAGCCACAACCAGAAAATAAGTCGTTGTATCAAAAAGGCAAGGATGTAATAAGCAACATTTTATGTACGCCAACATTTGAGGAAATTCAAAAACGTCACGACGGTAAAGTAATGACAAACGAAGATTTTGATAAAATTACTGACAAAATCCATCACAATTTGTATTAGTACCAATCCTATGGAAGTCTAGCGAATGTCTGAATTAAAGTGCAACAATTTATCATTGCTGTATCAATTTCACAAATGACTCATTTTATTTGTAAAAATACAATTAAATTAAATAAATACAAGGTTATGAACAAACCATTCGAATTACAGCAATGTTTTTTTCCCTTCCTGAAAACACATCTCTTTCACGCGCTTACATCGGAAATATTTGTTTTGCGCGCAGAAAATTATTTTGATAATTTTATGGTTTACACGTGCCTTGATAGAAAAATGGTAAAAAACGTCCAGAGGTGGTTTTTTCACTCTTATAGTGCTCGCACAGAGTAGACTTTGAAAATATAGGCATTGTGTACGAGCACTGCCAGAGTGAAAATATCAGCTCTGAATACGTCAATTGACATCGAACGAACTCTATTTAAAATTATGCACATTACAGAGACTGTTGCTCAGAGCAGAACTCTGAGGAGGAGTAGCTCTGAGGAGCAAGAGCAGGCTGAGGAGCAGTGCTCCTCCTCAGTGAGGAGCAAAAATAAAATTTATTCATTTTAATTATAATTTTAATAATAGCACTGCTCCTCAGCCTGCTCTTGCTCCTCAGAGCTACTCTTCCTCAGAGTTCTGCTCTAAACAACAGTCTCTGTGCACATATAAATGATTGTAGTGCAAAACAAACAATCCAAAAAGGTAATGAATAAATACTGAAATTATGAATATTTATCGTATTATTTTTCACCAAAATATCAAATATATTTGATTGCCCGAGAATGAAAGCGAGACTTCTATTCACAACTTATTGAAATGTAACACCACCATACACTTTCATTCTCGGACATTGATTTAAATCTTTGTAATTATTGCATGAATCAAGTATGACACTACAATATAAAAGCTTGTTTCATTTTTCATTTTATGTACGTTGTTGCATTCGAATTTAAATTTCGAAACATGAGATAAAATGAGCTGGTTGATTTGTTCATCTGTAAAAGTGTAAAATGACATGTTTTACCACATCTTTAATAAAACAAAGAAAACAATTACCCAAATGAATTTCTCCAGATTGCAACCGATAAAATGAAATCCACTTAAGACAATATTGCGTTGAGAACGGGCCAGAATAAATGGTATATGCTTTTGAAGATTGGCTGGAAACTGGTACCAATTTGAATTGTACAAGGTGGCGCCTGTTGATAAGCCGCCCGTTGAAATCAATGTAGCTCCATAGCACAAAGCATACGGCCACAGTAGCGAGACAATTACGCAAAGAAAATCATACATAATCATCAAGTCCAAACTGCCGATTGTCTTAAATTAGTTGAAAAATCGATTTTTAGCAGCGAAATATTCAAAATCGATTTTTGTTTCTACGTAAGAACTTGACGTTCAAAAACAAGGTCCATTCAGATACTCTATGGCAACTATTCGAAATCTCGAAATCTACTTACATGTTCCATTTGATATAAAGCTGATGCGAAAAATACAATGTTCAATGAGAGCATCCAAAATATTACGCCACTGCATACATCGCCGAATAGCTCTGAAATTCTGAAACGAATATTTCAAATTTATTGATTTTTCGGCCGGAATTGATCCTCTGAGGAGAAGAAATGGTGAGAAAGAGGAGATTTCTTCATTTTCCTTTTCTCCGTTCCTCCTACACAGAGAAACAATCCCTGATTTTTTGTCAAATGTTGAATTTCAAAACATACTCGAAACTCTTCGAATGTAACTCAACGATCTCCTTCAACCGCCATACGAAATGTTTGACTTGACTCCCTTTATTCTGCTCAATGTCCAAACTAAGCGACTGAATCAATGCATTAAAATGATCACACATGGCCACAATATAATAAGCAACAGCTACAAAATATGTAACCGAACATGTTGTAGTAAAAGAATAGGTGAATGCAACCTATAATATATACAACAATAAATAACAATATAACAACAATTTATAACAATACATAGCATTGAATTAACCAGAAAAGACACCATCCATTTATCGTCGAGGTATCAAATGGCATGTATAAACTATATGGTAAGAGCCATGTGGCCGTATCAAAATTTCCCAATGACATGCAGAAAATGGCATAAAGTAATGCCGCTGCGAACAACACCGCTGCCATCGATAAATATCCAACCGATATGAACTGCGTTAATTTTCGGCATTTTTCTTCGGTTTTGGTATAAATTAGCATTTCGGTCGCTTTGACATCTGAACGATGAAAAATGCTTAATAATTTAAAAATTAAATAATTGGAAACCATTCAAAATTACCTCGATTAATGAATGCCTGAAGTAACTTGAAGAGTCGTTTGACTTGCGACATTTTCCGTCCGATGCTTATGTATGATCCAATGCACTGCAAACTTGCACACATCAATAGAATCGCTCTCAATGCCAATGTTAAGTGATTCAGGTGTTGATATGCGTAAATTAAACTGCCCAATAGCATGGGACCGACCAGTCCAAATACCACTGCATAATTGCTGGTAAAATGCCAAAATTCATTTACTTCGTCGGTTTGTCGATCCGAACAAATTCCCAACGATGTTAGATAATACTGATTGAATTTTAAAACTTTCATCTTTTTAGGGGGTTCTCTCACGATGGAAAATTCCTAGCAAATTGAAAGATTTTTTCACGATTCTATCTCACCTTCTATCCAAATCTGTCCCTTTTTTCGTTTTTTTTTTGCTCTTCACATTTTTGGCGAAAATCCCTGGCAAAACGGAAGAATTTTTCTCGAAGAAAAAAGTGAAGAGCAAAAAAAGGTCCTTATTTTCAAAATTATTCAGGGTTTCTAAAAATATTTAAGAGGGGGGTCATCCGAACCCTAGGAACCCTCGTCATCACCTATGATTTTTTCTGCAATTTTTTTTTAAATTTTTCAAAGAATCATTTACCAAAAATTATTCACTACTCAAGCAATCACGAGGGAACCCAAATCGGCGCTTCGAAGCTCGTAAAAATTAAACGTTCTTACACAAAAAATGAAAGGATTCTAATCATAAATTTCACTTTCAAGCTGAATAAATAAAGTAATTTCCAGTGGAGTCACCCGAAACCATAGAGACACCACATTTCAAACACAAAAGTTTATGATAAACAAATTTTCAGAGTTTTTGTTAATGATAACTAAACGATATTTGTGGTTTAAATCATACGCCTATTCATTGATTCGGCGGTGTTTTGATGGGGATGCCGCTTTTGAACGAGTTATTGAGCACATATTGAATACTAGTTAAAATTCTGGTGCGACATAAGTTTTCTTATAAATCCGACGAAGTCGAGCTTTTCTAAATTTCATTCGTGATAATTAAATGGTTCTGCATTCGAATTTTAAAACAAAACTTTAAACATATTTCGGTCAAAATTCATTTTAATCTAGTTAAAAAGGCGTCACGGCAATGAAATTCTATTAATCAATAACGATTTGTTTGAATGCAGTTTTCAATTTGGATACTTCCTCACGATACTTACTTTCTGACGAAATTCAAAAAATACGAATTGAAATTACCAAAAAAGAAAAACCAAAGGGAAGACTCAAATCCGATCATTATGATGAAACAAATTTGGGCCGGAACAAGCCACATCATTGGTACCACATCATTGGTATAAGCCAACCTTTCCTCTATTCAAAAAATGAAGTAAATGAATTCGTTTCATTCGATATTTCGTTCAAAATCAGCATACCTTTAAAATTCCGCATATTGATAAAAAAAGCATCACACAATTAATCACTGAAATTGCAATTTGAACTCATTATTTGTGAAATTAACGAAAAATTAACTTTTACGCGAAAATAGTTTTTCTTTAATTTGATAAACTTACGAGGCACATAGATAAAAGATAAACCATTCTATAGAATCCCATATTGCTAGTATAAAATATGAAGTTCCATAAAAAAATCCAAAACAAGAACAGAAACACGTTAATACACAATGCCATCGTTCGTGTCATTGTTATTTAATTATTGTTTGATGTGTTCTTCGAATGATAATTTCTTCTAATATTAATGGACGCCTCACAGGTTTTTATTTTGAAAATGAATAAGTAGTTCAGTAAAATATCATCAGTATTGTTCGCATGCTTTTTTCGTTTAACTTTTTCAATTTTTTACTTTTTTCGCAGCAATGTATAAATACTAGATTGATACAAAACTTACCTTTAACCGCAATGTGTATGTAAGCATTTCGGTGTTTGCGTTTTGAATACAATCTCGAACGAGATTAATGTGCGCAATCTACCGCAAATCAGTTAAATCATATATTGTTGACGCGTAAATATGGTTTAACATCATCAAATTTCGAACGCTGAAGAGATAACGTAGTTATAGTTATGTGAGCAATGCTGCAGCTATTTATAGACAAAAAAAAACATAAGGAGGCTTACGTTTCTAATCGTTCAATGGTTTTCAAACAAAAAATGGCAAATAATTTACATATGTTAAGATTGTATCTCACGTTGTAAGTCTCAAAACAATAATTTCGGTCGGAATTTCCGTAAACTCAATTCCAAAAATATTCAAAACGATTCAATCACGTCAAACTAATTTAATATAAATTTGTGAGCTATCATCGCCGACCTACATTATATTCCATAAAAATTGGACATTTGTCACGTCCATAACACATTCAAGTTCAGGTATTTTGTTGACTGAAGTATCAAAGATGTATGTTTAACTAAGAGAAGCACGTTTGAAATTATTCTCTGTTTTCGAGACACATGCAAGATTACAGGTGAATCTTAGCAGCGATATGTGCCAATAATGGAATCAGTTCTATTCTGACCCTCAAACTGAGTGGTGCTTTGTTATTTTTTGAGCATTTCCATTTGCAATTTTTAACTATCACTACGGACTTACAGGTGTATTTTTTCCATATAAAATATTTCCAGATCAATATTTGAAACTTGTTTACGAGTTTAAAAGTAGAAAATTTTGATTTTGAATTGTTTGATTTAACCTCATCTTTAAACAGTGATTGTTGTGAAAAAAATTCTCACCCAAAACATTGAGTAATAATCTGAAGTGAGGAGGTGATTGTACAAGAAAATGAAGATCATTGCGTGGCTTTTGTTATTTGGAGTCTTGTCGTGTGATTTTACAACGTACGGATATGATTATTTGGGTATGTCCCGATTGCAATGACTGTTTTGTCTTTTCGTCTCGAATGATCTTATAGGCACCGCGGTGCATGCATTTTTATCGTATTTTTCGTGCCAAAAACATTTCTGCAAATTATTCATCGAATAATTCCGAAATTAATTTCAGTAAATTGATCGAACATTATTGAATATCAACTCTCTTTTTATTTCAAAAATTTGTTCTAAGTGAAAATTAATGGAATTTAAACTGAAATCGGAGAAAATTCAAATTGTAGAAGATTAAATGTCTCATTTTCTTCCAGCGGAAGTTGAACTTTATTCGGATGAGGTGACTCAATACACTATCACCACTAGCGACGGTACAAGTGAAGAACTCTCAGGTGATTTATGCACTTGTAGCACTTCGGGATGTGAAAATTCTGTGATTTTCTGATTTTTGCTAAACCAATTTCAATTTTTTTAAAAATTAACACAATTTTTCGTTACACAAACATTTATTTGGAAAATCTTTGCATTCTTCATTTCATACTTTGGAATTTCCATTTCAATTGATTTTTTTGTTAAATTCCCCTTTGTGATAGATACAACTGCATTGGAACCATCAATTACATCTGAAACACCGACAACAGGGGATGGTAATACAAGCACCACAGATGACGAATATATACTACTACCTTCGCCTCCGTCTTCATTTGCCAAAGGTTCAAAAGGATTAAGAAAATGCCATTCCACCGAGTTCACTTGCGCTAGCGGCGATTGCATACCGGTATAGTACCATTTTCGATAAATTGTCGACGATTTTTAATTATTTTTTTTTATTTCGTAAATTTCAGTTGCGTTGGCGGTGTGATTTATGGAATGGTAAGTCGAAGTATTCGATTTTCCCCAAAAATCATACATTCTATAATTGCTTTTTTTTTTCAAGATTGTCGAGATGGAAGTGATGAAATGTATTGCACGGATTTGGGTTCAACAACAGAGGAAATTGAAATTTCTTCAATTCAAGAGGTGATTCAACAAAGTACCGAAAATGGAAACGATTACACAATCGACTCAGGTATTTTTCGCTTTAAATTTTGCTATTGAAAATTGATGACATGAAAAACCGGCTCTGTATGAAATTGATGAAAGACAACGTCATATTGAGACGATTTCGTATTATGCTTCAAAACATCAGACAAACAAATAGTAATTGATGGTTTTCCACACAGATATTTCACAGGAAATTGAATGGAGTACAGTAAGTTCTTCTGATGAATTGAGTTCAACAACAGATGAAATTGAAGAAAGTGCCATCGATTCCACCACGTCGTTTTTTGACGATGAAGATAGCGCCAGTACAACAGACTCATCGATCATTACGGGCGAGACAAGTATTATTTTTTTAATCGCATTTTTTTTTATCTTAAGAGCTGATTTTGACCTGTTATGGATTTGAACCACTTTTTCTATTTTAATGTATTTTTGCAGATGAAAAGTGCCTTGGCGACCAGTTCGATTGTGTACCTCTCTCGCATTTCCTATGGCCCCGACATTGTATACCGGTAGAGTATTAAAACGTGGAACTTATCAAAAAGATTCGTTCAAATTTCACTTTGAAACCAAATTAAATATTATATTTCCCATTTCAGTTAGCTTGGCGTTGTGACGGATATGTCGGTAAGTCAAATGATGCCCATTTTTCCAACAATCTAATTTTCCAATTAAACTTTAAACCGATTCTTTTTATTTTATCAAGATTGTGTAGATGGACATGATGAACTAAACTGTAATCATGAGACGACAACAGAAGCAGTAGTCCAAAGTGTAGCCGTATCCGAAAATAATTTAAAAATCTCGACTCCAAATCCGCCGTCGTTTTCACTGCCAATGTTGACATTCGCCAAAGACCTCTACACCGTCGCCGAAGGCACTGATTTCACATTATTTTGTAACGTTTACGGAAGCTATGACGGAAATATTATCTGGCAAAAAAAGTACGGCGATGGTTTTGCATCGAATGTGGAAACATTTGCAAATGTTTTGAGAATTTACAATGCTCAACCAGAGAATCAAGGTGTTTATGAGTGCAGAATCGAATCAAATGGACTGATTTCAATGGCGAGTACGATTGTCAATGTAAAATGTAATCATGCTTAACTTTTTTTTATTTTTTTTATTATTATTGATCAAAACGTATTTTTACAGTGTATTCCGCACCAGTGATCGAAATCCACCCAACCGAACCGCAAGTGGTGCAAGTCGGTGAATTTGTTTTGCTCAAGTGTCGCATAGTATCCAATGGTAATTCGCCGTCGATTTTGAAATGGACACGTCTTGATGGAGCACCACTTTCAAATCGAGTCATTGAGATAGGTAATGGTACGATTTTAATATCCAACATAACCGCTACCGAAGCTACTGATTATGCATGCATAGCATCCAACATTTTGGGCGAAACAAGCCAATCAGTGTCAATAATTGTCAAAAAAGCAGTGTTAAATGTCACCATTTTGCCGAATGTACAATGGATTTTCGCATCACAAGGCGATAAATTGGAATTATTCTGTTCAGCCGACGAAGCGTCACCATTCAGCAGCGCACAATGGAATGTACCAAATCCGTTGAATTCGCATTACTACGTTTCATCGGGATATGCTGTATTCCAGAAGTATAACATCAATTACACAGATGCTGGAATATACATTTGTTCTGTGTTGGACAATGAACATGGACACAGTCAAAAAGAAATTATCGTTCGATTTCCATCTGATTAGATTATCACACAGAAATGTTGACCGGAAAAATGAAATGAATTACTCACATAATTGTTGATAGACATTTTAGATATTTTTGAGTTGATTGTACATATATACAGTTTATTTAGTGAAGCAATTTGAATAAATTTGGCTTAGAAATTGATGCAAAGAAAATATTTTCGGGTTCGTTTTATTATTTCAAGATCAATTGAGGAAAAAACAGGCGTAAAGCGCTGACAGAGCAGTTCTTGGCACAAGAGAAGGACGGGAACTCACTGGTGCCCGTGCTTATAGCAAATAATTTTTCATGTGCCGCAACTGAATATAAGGAAGAGTGACATCTACAAGAAAAGTGCCCACATATCCACGGTGCCTTCAACAGCTCTGGACGCAGAAACGTCTTATACGACTTTTGATGTAGAGCTTTTTGTTTTAATAATTTTAACAAAGGAATTTTGATTCTTTGGCGATTCAATCATTTTGACGAATATTTCGGAAGGTCGAGTTGACGAATATGCTTCCTTTTGATTTTTTCACACAAATCGAGCCAAGGTTCTTTTCTGATAGAGAATAAAACAAATAAATAATTGCGGCTCTCACCAAGCGCGCTTTTAGTGAATGACGTAGGTGATGATTTCATTTTCTGCTTTCCAGCGAAACATTAATAAATTTGCAAATAGATATTCAAAGTTCGGATAAAAATTCAGTAAATTAGTCACGTTTTCAACATTCAATGCAATGCAATATTCGTCGTCAATGCCAAGGTTATAAAAAAGAATAATGTTCATAAAAACAACATTTATTAGCAAATTTCATCTGAGTTGAAGTTAAAACAGCACATTCAAAGCCACTTTTTGCGACGCCAATTCATAGTTCAAGAAATAGTAGTTGCGATCAGTGTCACTCGTTCAGTCTTCAAATTGGTGTTGTGCTGGCGCCAACGAAATTTTACATACAAAATACCAGTGTCATTCAAAAAAAAATTTGCAAGCTTTTTTGACGAAAATGAATTTCATTCTGCGGATATTGTATGTTGGCACCATTTTAAATGGTCTTCAAGCTGAAAAACCTGATTCATATGAATACGATTCTACTACTTTGAACGACTATGGCAGTGGTTCCGAGATTTCATCCAGTATCTCAGGTACGGCTTATAATTTAGAACAAAAGGCACCTTTTCACGACTTTGTGCTCTTTTTGTTTTTTGTGATCTTCTTCAATTTTGATCACACTTTTGAAATGATACTTTTTGTCAGATTCATCGGAAACGACTGACTACTATATATCGACATCTGCTGATGACATTTTTACAAGGGTCTCCTACATTGAACACTTTTTGAGTTTCCTTTTTCCCGATTTCCGTTAAGTGAATTTTCAGATCTCAAGTGAAAATCCAAAAAAATACTTGCGCAGTAATTCGTGTATTTTCACTTGAGGAACCATTAATGCTGCATTAAAAATGTAATTTCACACTATTTTTCAGGTAGAAAATGCGATACCAACGAATTTGCGTGTAAAAATGGAATGTGTATACCGGTACAGTATAACCTCATGATGGCTTCAAAGCAACGGTGCTAATATTGTGTTTATTTATTGTTTGAAATCCAGTCATTTTGGCGATGTGATAATTTTTCTGATTGTTCGGATAAAAGCGATGAATCGAATTGTGCCAAAGTGACTACTTTAATGCCTGATGATAGCACAACCGAAGCTTTACCAAATACAAATGGACACACAACTGAATCAGGTCTTTTTTCATTTATCTACTTAAAAATGAAGGACTTTGCAAATTGTAATTTATAAATTTTTCCACGCAGATGAGAGTGATGAACCTTTTACACGTTCGAATGACATGAACAAAGAGCCACATAGCTGAACAATGAATTTTTATCGAATTTGAGCTTGACAATTTTTCGAATCCTTTATGCAACTACTAAAATGATATAAAAAAAGTCGTAGAAATTTGTTTATTATATGAAGTAATGCACAAAAATCAATAAATCTAGTTTGTTTAGCTGAAAAAACTATTGTTTTAAACTTGATTTTAAGTCTCCTTAGTACAGGTTGACTATCAATAATTAAGCTTTTAAAAGGAAACGTCATGTTGTATAAGTGTGCAGTTAGTGCGAATTAAAATTCAATTTTTATTTGTATGCAAGATAGTAGATTATTTAGAAAATAAACAATTCAACTGTGGCTTAACATTTACACAATAAACAATACACACAAACACCAAAAACAGCACAGCTTGTACCAACAATAGTATAAGCCTTAAAATTGCATTTGATGAAACATAGCTAAGCTTTTTCCTCTCTATATTTATTTCTGGTTTAGTGAATCGATTGATTCGATGGTAATACTGCTTATAGTTTCTGCTTTGATCGGAACCACAACGTTTTTATTTCTCGAACGCCAAACAGTCCAAAATAATCGAAGTGTCAAGAAATAAATGAATTCCACTATGCTCAGCAGCGATATTCCCAAAAGCAAACCGCCACAAATGGCCAGAATATCTGTAAAAGTATACGTTTCTGTTCGTTGCAGTGTGGTAACTTGATCATCAGCAAAAAATATGACAAAAGATGAATGCTGTATTCTGTAAGAAGGATATTTAGGGGTATAAATGTCAACCAGTTTATATTAAAGCTATGAAATTTGGCATTACAGGGGGAGGAAAAATTTTTAAGCCTGATATAGAAACACACATTGTATTTTTAAATGACTATATTTATTATTCAAAGTAGTCTCCATGAACACGAATGACACTTTCATATCGATGCTTCAATGCTTCAATTCCTCCTTCAAACCACTCGGCATCTTTGTCCTCCCATACGTTGAAAATATCGTTCGATATCTCTTCTTCGGACTCATATTGCTTCCCCTTTAGATATCTTTTGGTGTTTGGGAACAGGAAATAGTCGCTGGGTGCCAGATCTGGAGAATACGGTGGATGGTGGAGTTGTTCGAACCCACATTCCCTGATGGCAGCTTGTGCAAGCAATGATTTGTGAGGCGGTGCATTGTCATGCAAAAGAAGAACTTTTCGAGTGAGCAAACCAGGACGCTTTTCTCTGATCGCTTTACGCAATCTATGCATTTGTTGAGCATAATAATAGCCCGTGACTGTGGTATTCTTTGGAAGGAATTCAACCAATAATATGCCTTTGGCATCCCAGAATACAGAGGCCATTACTGTGTTTGTGGCAATTTGTTTGCGTGGCACTTTCGATGCTGGTTCACCACGTTTGTGCCATTCCATCGTCTGTGATTTGAGCTCTGGATCATAGTAGTGGATCCAGGAATCGTCGCCAGGCACTATTCGCTCAAATGTGTCCGTTTCATTCCATTCCAACAACTCGAGAAACTCGTGTGCAGCAGCAATTCGTTCTTCTTTTTGTGATTTGTTCAACGTTCTTGGAATCCATCGTGAGCAAACCTTTCTCATGTGCAATTTTTCATGAAGTATGTTGTAAATACTCTTCTCTGAGATGTCAAACATTGCTGCTAACACTTTCTTGCTCATTCGAGGATTTTCGTGCACGTGATGTTCAAATTTTTGCACTACAACTGAAGCTGTTGCTTCAATTGGTCGACCTGTATGAGGATCATCTTACAATGATTCTCTACCCCACTTGAATTGTTTTGCCCATAGTTTTACTGTGGCATACGATGGGGCAAGGACCCCATAAACAGCACGCAAGCGATCATTGATATCCTTTGGTGTCACACCTTCTTTTGTGAGAAACTTAATCACCGCATCGAGGTTACTTGGTATGCAATGCTGTTGAAAACAAACGACGACAGATATCAACTCAATTTTTTTCTGCAATACTATTGACAGTTCGTACTTCAATTACAGCACAAGAACAATTTGTATCTAGTGCCGTCTATATGTCAGGCTTAAAAATTTTTCCTCCCCCTGTAATACCATTTAGTCAACCTTCACCGAATCGCACTATTTTATATGTGTGCCTATAGTATATAGGACTCTTTCAAAAAAAAATCGTGTTTTCGCCTTTTTCACGAAAAATTGGCAACCAGTGGCTACAATACACATGTAAAATAGAACGAATTAGAGAAGTTAGATGTGCCTTAAATTTGATTTTCATTACGTAGTACTGCGTGTAGATTCCGACGAGATAAAATCGTTTCGATCGATTTGGGTTTCATACTTAATATGAAATATGCACGATGGTAAACAATTGCATTTATCACGAAACATTTTGGTGGATTGATCATTCAAAAAATTTTCTCTAAACAATTTTCTTTTAACACTTCGATAACATCCAATATTGTACAGTCCACAAATTTTTATATGTTTACCCCCTAAAAATAGAAATCAACTTTTTTGTAATTCAACCATAATTGCAATGTGAATGCAGGACAGAAAAATCCTTCGCAAACATACTTGGAGCGGAAAATTTCACCCAACCGCATATTGTTCGTGTATAATTGGCGAGACACTCTGCTTCGCAATTATTTTGGGTGTTTAATTTGAAGAAATGCAATTGACGTTACGAATTGAAGAAATATTGGCGTTTTGTCGGTGTATAGTGGCGAAGTTTTTAATCGAAATATATGAATGCTCCAATGGCATTATTTCCAAATGGCGTGAAAATGATTTTCGTGTTTCACCGGGCATGGTCAAATTCACTTTGGTTCCTTGAGGGTTCAAGCTGGATAGCTAGTGCATAAATATTTAAAATCGATTGTGTGAAGTACTAAGCCCATCCGCAATGTAGCTCCTTGAGATGACAAAACAACATGCGTTGCGGATATTGGTTTTGTATGCTGAATTCATTTTCATAGCCATTTTCCAAACTCCATTCCGATCTAGATTCCGATACATTTCGAAATTCGTTCAAAGTCATCATTTTAGGGACTATGCTGAGAAATGAGTAATAAATAAAAATCACTTACTTTTCAGTGTACATGTCATTGAACTCAAATGAAATCCATTGAAAACAAAGCAAAGTCCATCATCAGTGATAACTGGGGCCAGCAGTGAATCACATCCAGTAGCCAATCGACCCCAAGAACACTCAACATTGCTATAGCTCATGCTTGGTGCAATATCTTCAATTATTTGATAAATTGAACTATTCGTAAATGGATGTTTCATTGGAGGTAAATGAAAAACGTTGCTTAGACATGTATGGAACAGTGTCTCATATCGCAACAACCTAGGCAAAGTTCATAAATATGGAAAAAAATATAACTGAGTCTTCATTTTCAAGCAAAAATATTAATTTCATACTCAATGCCTTTCAATTTTTTTGACAAAAAAGAGTGATTATTGTGGTGTACATTCAATTTCTTATTGCGAACTTTTGATTTCGGACAAATCGTCACTGGTATCGCTGACAATGGTACGTCTTTTTCTGTAAAACCCAATGTAACTGGACTATCATGCCACTGCATCCAGATGTTGTGAATTGAAACACCACACAGCAAAAGTGATAAAGTTAAGGCGAAAATCCACAACACTCTGAATCAAAATTGATAAACATAGCCTGAATGATCAAATATTTATTATGGCGATGGTATTTATTATCGCTCCAATGGCGATGTGGTTCGGTGATATATCCAACGACAGCAGTACATTTGCTTTTGTTACAGTATTCGATCAAAAGCTTAAGCATTTTATGTGAACTTTTTTGGATTTTTTTGCCGAGAACAATTTAATTTACACACACAATTACTCAATCTCAACTCAGATTAGATTAGATTAGATTTATTGACAATTTGCTGTCAAAACTAACGTGGTTGAAGCGAAAATGTGTCTTTTATAGCCATGGATTTCCATTAGTTTTATGATTCCATTATCGTTCCACCTCTGATGCTATGCAGACATGCTATTGGTTACCCTCACAAGACGGCAAAAATTACATCGACTCAAAAATCGTTGCTAATCGAAAATAATATGAAAATAAAAATGGAAAAAAATCGATATTGAAAGACATTGAAAATTCGAACGTCAATCTGATTCGGTGCGCAGTTATTTTTTGCAATATATTATTTAGACAACATAAATGCAATCGTGTAAAATATACAGTTTACATAATAGATGCATTTTGTTAATAAAAAACAACACTGTAAGTAGTGCACAGCCAGTTAAACCACGATTCAGTGTAATGCTTATAGATTCAGTCATCATTTCGAATTCTGACGTTGGAAGGCTTCTTTCGAAACATAAAATAATAAAATGACATTAGTTGTGGTCGACGAAAATTGGTGTTTGCGGCATGCCTACTACAATTGCCTTCAGTGCAATGCACCAGCATTTGACACCTTTAACACCGAACCAAATGTGCAGAGACCTTGTCGTCGATGCAACGCAAACATCTACCCATATCAGGATGTGAGTAAAAATTCGTCGATTTTGAATACATTTTCTGTCTGTTTTCGGTTACAATCCGGCCACTGCAAGTTTTTTTTATTACTATTTTACATTTCTAGTTGTACTTTACGGAAAGCCAAGGAATTCCACAAAGATGGTAGAACTTTTTGCTGTTTTGTGGCCGAACTTTTTTCGATGTGTCACGTTATGCATTAAAAATAGAATAAAAAGAGACTTTGCCGTCAAACATTGAAAAATGATAAATATATTTGCATTCATTAATAAAACTAGCACTTTGATTTCATTTTTAGAACATCTTCTCCACAATGATCATGATATTTGCAAAAAGTCCGCTTTAGATTTATGATTTTTTCAATTTACTGAATAGATACAATTGTTTGTTTAAATAAACAATTGACGGTTTTGCTGAATTGGTTGCTTAAATATAAATCTGAAATACAAACAGTTGATCGTTTATTCAAGATGTGTTCAATTTTTCAGTTCAGCTATTATTCGATTCGATATAAAAGACATTATCGTGTTTGATAAAACTTCAGTCAAGTATCGAGATCGGCATTCACTCAATCAGATTCGATTTGAAATTTTGAAGGACAGAAAAATGTATCCATTTGAG